TTATAATAAATCAGTGCCGGTACACACCGATCGGCTATTGGATTCATTGGTAGTTTTCAAAAGAACCCGTCATTCATATAATATGTCAGCCTTCAGGTTGGATGTCTTTTATTAAGTTCTCATCTACAGAACAGACTAGAGTTCGGACAACAATACCAGTCTATAACTGCCGTTTCAAGATGGCGTGTTCTTCCAAGACACTCAGATATGAAACACATGCCGTTGTCTGAATAAAATAGTTTCGCAGTACCGGTACACACCGATCATGACTGTTGGACGCAATCGCAGTTTTCAATAGAATCCATTATGCACATACAGTCCTATAATATGTCAAACTACAGGTTGGAAGTCTTGTCTTTTTAGAATAGGGATAGGATTTACATATTATCTCATGGGGAGAAACGGCTTACTCGTATGGCGCACCACCGCCTCCTGTTCGGTTACCAAGTCGGGTACAGTATGGGATTAGTTAGTCGGTTATTTGTTTTCGGAAGCACGGACTTGATGGTGGAGGAAGCCGTAACCGACCAGCGGTTGTGCGAGCCACCCTAAGAAGTGTAAAAAATCCAATGTATCGTATTAGTAGATAAATTTAAAAGCTAACTTTGGCGAGAAAGCTTTCACTCTCTATTCCAAATAGCCTACTATTAGTCTCACCGCGCAATAAGAGATATTGTCCCGGAATAACTAAACAAACAAAAGGTTTTATTCAGGGTGTGTCTCTTTTCAGAGTGTCGCGTCCCAACGCCCCTCAAGTTTCATAGTTCATTATCGGTCATCCTATCGCGAGAAAATCACCATATGTATGTACCGGTAGTCGTGAAAATATGCTAGCGTTCTCGAACGACTATGGTCAGGTTATCGTTGAGGGCACACAATAGATTTTATGGAGAAACGCCAAGCATTTTGTACTTTGGGTGAATAGGTTTTATTTTCATAACCGAACAATTTATTTCTCCCCGCCATTTTATTGAAGAGTGGGATCAAAATTAGGATTTGACGGATCGTGACTTTCAGTTCCGCCATGGAATGTGTGCTAATTCCAATAGTAAGCTAAATGTTTGGAGAATTTAAAATTGATCACTTAGTACAACCACGATTACCGCAAAGGGGATTGGAAAAGTGGCTTAAAAAATAATTCTTAACTAAAGCGCGCAAGAAACACCAAAATATATATATATATATATATATATATATAATATATATATATATATATATATATATATATATATATATATATATATATATAATTTGGATATTGCTATTGAACACATCCCTTCGTCGCGCGCCAAACACTTTGGAAGTTCCGCGTTTCTAACACACAAATGACCTCATGTATAATTAGTTTCGATGACAAACGTCCGACAACAGTCACAATGGGTCAACAAAACCTGATAGGGCTATAAATGATATTTCAACAACAGTGATTCGTTGAACATACCAAGTCGTTTACTATTCTTATAATCACTGAGTCACCACGCCCATTCCTTCTACATGTTTTGTATTTCCGCCCCCAGTTTATACATTTTTAGTAAATTTCAAAATGTTCTTCTGAAGATGCACAGATAAAAATATAAAAAGGAGCACATTTCTAACAAGAGATCGATGCTCACACATATGAACACGGAGAAAAAAGAAGGCAGTAGTCTACCTTACCTTTTACAGAACCTGAACCGTCAAAAAGTCTCCAACTTTCGAGTAGCAAGAGAATAAAACAAGCTAAAACCGCTACAAATATTTTTTGTTAATTAGGAAGAGGTCATCACACAAAATTTCGAAGTGAAAAACGTGCCGACATGTAATGTTTGAAATGAATAAAAAGCCTTGTAGCAGAAAATAAATCCTCAAGCACTGAAATTTTCAAAGCTATTGATCTAATCGTTAAGGAGAAAGCGATTTTTGCATACGTTTACAACAAGAAAAATATTAACAACAACATAACTAGAATTCGGTTGGAAACCGAAGACTTATCGATCGAAGGTTAGGGGATCCCCTAAAACAGTGGTCTTACTCCATAGTGACACCGTGTGTCCCATCCCTAATTAATTAATACCTCGCTAATTATACGACATAATCCATCCAAAATCAATAGGCTTCTGATCCGAGCTATGATGAATGCACGTGCAAAATTTGGAGCAGATTGAACCTCGCTTTCGAGATATCGCGTGCATCTAACAGACAAACAAACAAACAAATACCTACCAACATACTTACCGATCTTAAGATCGATAAGTAACAATCCATAGGTCCACTTAGTCTCAGTGTTCAATAATAATAACAAGAGAGCGATCCTCAAATAAATGAACACGGAATTCAAAACGTATCACAGACTTCACGACTAACGCAAAAGCGCAACCGCTACAAGATGACGACGTGGTACCGCGGATTATATTAAGATCAACAGTACAGTCTACCTTCTGCGTTCACCAAGATTGAATGTTTATTAGGATACTGTAGGATTTTTTTTGACATGATGTGTAATTATGTTTTGCTTGCTGATCGATTTTATCTATACAAATGTGAAATTGGTAAAAGAATGCCAAAGTTAAATTGTTTTCTAAAATTTGTTGACATTATAGAAGAGAATGAAAGAATGTTGGCTCTAAAAAAAATGAAAAATACACAAACAAAATGAAAAATTCTAAGTATTTAAATAAATAAATAACTGTGATTTTTAGATGTATGTGAGTAATTGTAATTATTCTGCATTCTCTATTACGTTTGTATTGTATTAATACTGCAATATTGTTTATCATATAAAACCCAATAAAAAAGTACGGTCTACTCCCTGTCATCCCGTTCGTTCATTCAGCATTGATTCTGCAGAGTTTCGATTTATTCATGTGGCAATGCCTGTGGGTATCGACAAAAAAATCATCGCATGGACGAGGAGAGAGATTTATTGTTTTGTCAACCGTAAACAATTAATGGTATACAAAATAATATATACAATATACACAAAGTTAATTCGGTATAGACTGGGGGGAGCGATACGACCATAAGGTCATCGGAGTCAGCTCCCCCCAAGTTCACTATTAGGATTCACAGTTAAATGTATATAAATAGGAAATAAAATAAAAAAGATACCGTACTCATTGGAGCCTATCGAGCCTATCGATTTAGTTACGTAAAATATGTATTATACATCCAAGAATTACTAAATGAGCAAAATTGCGATTTCCCCTCCCCGTTGACCTTGATCCAGGCGTTGAGTATAGATAAACATGCTTAATATGGTTATAATCACTCTTATACACGAAAAAAAAATTAGGACTTGTAATGTAAAAACTGTGCTGAACATGTTGTAGCGAATTGTTGATAATGATGAATACACCAATCCAGCAACAGTACATTTCGAGTACATTGATACAAATATACTATGTCTTAATGGGGAATTAACCACGGATACGTGTAGACCAACGGTGCACAACCTGCGGCCGTCGCGAAAAAAAAATGCAGCCGTCCACATACAAAATCCTATGAAAAAAAGTTCAAAATATAGGATTTGGCGGCTATGCTGGCGTATATTGAAGCAAAACAGAAGCACTGCAAAAAAGTCAGACGACACGATGCGTCACAATCTAGATGGTGTATTTGCTGCCAGTTACCTCACTTTGCAAGTTTATCTGCCCAGATGCAAGACCAAAGGAGTCATTAAATTGCTACAATTCTTTGCAAACTTTTATAGAATAAATTCATAAAAATATTTGACATTTTATTATACTGTTGGGGACAAGAAAATGGGGGCGACCGCCCCTCCCCGACTTTCGATTTTTTTCAAAATTGTGCAACCATTATGCAACTTGCTGAATATATCTGCTCTAGAATAGGTCCACCGAAACAAAAATCCTTTTAAAATGCGAATATTATACTCCCAAGTAATCCTACGTACTTCATAATTGGGCAGAGTGCACCTCGCACGGGTCAAATACGCGGTTATGACGTCATAAAGCCAAAAAATTTCGCGCGCCTTCGGCACGCTATTAACCTCCTGGCGGCCGTATTGTATAAAAAATAAATGCAATTTTGCCGCCAATAGCAAAAAGGTTGTGCACCCCTGGTGTAGACAGAATCTAACTTCCTCGTAATGAACTCATTTGTTTCGTGACATATCTATTCCAATAAGGACCAGGCCAGGCGATTGCATATAAATTCCTCGGGCTTTCTTTCCAGATTACTGAGAAAGCTTCATTGAAGGTGGGACCTTTTTTATACATACGTATATTTATCACAGAAATTCGGTAATTACCTGTACAAATAACTTGCCCGGCCGAAGAATAATATTAATATGACGGGCACATAGATGGCGGATTTGAACATCTTTTCCATCGACCAAATGGCAGCTTATCGTAGATAGATATCAGCATATTGATGTTTTTAACGTTGAATCCACTGATTTATACTTTGTCATACGTTTAAAGAATGTCATTTTGTGCGTATTCGAATCCGACTTAAATATTATTGACTTTAAACCTGACATGGGCAAACTACGGCCGATGGGCCAAATCCAGCCCATTGGGCAATTCAATCTGACCCGCCTGATGCTGCCACAAACGAACTAAATCCAAATTTTGATGTTTTAGCCAAGGAAACTCTTGAAGTTTGTTGGGATTGCGATTAAATTTAGTTTTGGTGCTAAGCTTATTGTTTTCCAATTTTACTTTTGCTTTTGTGAATATTGTTATTAAAATGTAACTTTTTACGTCACAGTTACATGGCCCGCCAGTCTAAGTGGGCAAAATGTTTGACCCAGGTTCCAAAAACCCTGCTTACTGTAATACAATCTCGCTACTTATGTTATTGATTATTAAATACAAAACTTTTCAATTCGTAACTTTGCGTTATTGTGCAAAAACGTCCGAACGCCGTCCCATATACGCTGAAAATTTTGGTAAGGTAGGCCTATTTTGTAATTTCATCATTTTATTGCTTAATAATATTTATGATGAGTACCGGAGGCAGCGTATGCCAATACAGATCACTATAACAAAAGCAAATTTCTCAACTTTCAAATACAAGGATTACACACCAGGACTGACTTAAATAAAAATGAAACATTATTGTTCAATCCAAATAAAACATATCGCACAATACAAAGAAACAAAATAAGAAGGAACAACGAATCACAAAGAATGATATTAAATCAAAAGAAAATTAAACATAATAGTAAATTCTGCTTGATCAGAAAATCAGCCAGTGTCGTACGAAACAGGCAATTACGTTAATATTGAAGGGATTTATTCCAATCTTTTTAAAATATTGAAGCTTGTCATTCAGGCTACAGTTTGCCACTTTGCCTACAGGAAGGTGTTCCTCTTTGAGATAAAGGGCCACTCATTGACATTATCACTATTAGCAAAACTTTGATTTTAACGAATTAGGCTTCAAAGACGCGTGACAATAGGAATGTTGTCCATTGATCTCTAAAATTGATAATATATATGCGATATTCATAATTGAGTATTTAAAACACCCAATTGCATGTTTTACAAATAAACAATCCCAGTAAATTATAAAAGAAACAAATGATTCGTGGGGAAAAGAAAGATTGACAATCAGTAAAAGTTGAAGGTGCATTCAACATGGGTGAGAGTGGCAATTTATACATTCGTTATAGGTAGTCAGCACAGCCCCACACGCGCAAATTCGAATATTTGTAATTGTAACAACAAAAAACCATGGATAAGCAACTTAATTTGGAATTTTCACATCACAGCTGTAAATAAAATTAGTCTATATCTGAATTGTGCGACAAACGGGACAATATGTACATGTTCAACGGTATAACGAACAATATTTATCTGCCCTTACAAAAAGCCTCGTTTCCATCGTCAACTTCTTCGCCATCCTCGGGACAGTAACCTGTTTTATTTTTTTTTACTCTCATTCCATCCAATAATGTTACTCGTGCACCTGTAGGAATGCATTTCAAGCCAGATAAACCATTCACATTAACTTCGGCCAAACTACTAAAATGTATAGTCTGAACACCACCAATCTCAGCAGTTGATGCAGCCTGCTTCATGCTATGTAAAGAACTTGCAGACAACATTTTGAGTTTGATCTTGCAAGCATCCGGACACCAATGTATTAAAATGGGCGTTTCATTTGCTTGTATACCAGAGACTCCAATTAAAGCATAGTAAAGCATGTAACAGCATTCATCTTTCTTGAAATATTTTTCTTTATAAACAGCAAGTGCATTTTTCGGTACATGTTCTCTGAAGCTGTCTTCAACTGGTTCAATGATGTTTAACTTGTCGTTGTCTTTATCGGGACGAATGGCAAACAGACATGCAGGCATAACCTTCTTTTTTCTTAGAAGAAACATTTTAGCCAATATTGCTTTTGTCTCAGCGGAAACTGGTATTCCGGAATTGGCCATGGTTAACCTCTGATGTTATAGAATATAGATATAGAATGAAAACAAACTGCAAAACATATCGAATAAAATTAATAATTTGATATCAAAATGTGAGAGCAGACTGAATGAAAAAACAAGAGTTTACTTTGGCAAATACCAGAATATACATCGGGAGCACATGATAAAGAAGACTTGTTGTTTCAAACAAAATTATGTACTAAATGACTAACATATTCGAAACATCGCCCAAATGGAAATATCGCGCCATCTCCTAATAAATAATCATTCTGATTCCGATCGCGATCGCGCATTGTTGATAAACGAGTAGAATTTTACGGGTGTCGCAGATTGCTGATATACGTCGTTACTGTGGTGAAGGAATATCTATCTGTACTGTATCTGAATCTATAATTACTGAATTATGATTTACATTCTCGTTTACAGTAGGCCTACTTATAATATATAGTACATAGTCAGATATTACAGTATTGCCGTTGCTGTATTCAGGTAATAGTCGAATGTGAAACAATTTCATAACTCAAACAGTCTTATTATATAGTCTAATTATTTTCATAAGTTCCCCAACGGTTTCAATCAGAGTATTAAATCGTCAAACAACGTTACCAGAACACGGCACCGGTATGCAGATAAAATTTCGATAAAGCAAGAAACTGTGCCCGCATAAACTTTCTTTTAAAACAGAAATGAAACTATGAAGGAAATCAGGCACATGCAATAAAAACGGAACATAATGACCGTGCACAGCCACCGCATTACAAATCACGCATTGTGAGCAGGTCTACATAGATACGCATCGCGCCCTCCCGTTAGTTTACTTTTAACGTACAAATTGTAGAGTACAATACTGGCTTAGATGATTTTGAGAGCGTGAATTTATACTTTCCGAATTATATTTTTCTGCGTATATGTAGAGTAATATTCTTGAATACGTACCTAATTAGGATGCAACCGTTTATTAAATAAATACAGATTTCATACTATTGAAGAAAGTACAACAGCCTACCTGATACGCGATACGTATCTCAAGTCCAAATATAGCCTTAGAATTAGATCGTAAATAAATACTAATACGGCGAGATTAATCGCTACGGTTTGGCGCAATCGACGTAAACGTCATTTGTTAATGTACAATATAGCTGTTTGAGTCAACATAGCCAGGGTTTTGACGCCGTTCGTTCAAATATGTAAGAAAGAATAGTGGGGAGTGAGAAGCTTCCAAATACAGGCTGACTACAGTTTATTTTAGCCTAATAGATGATGCCTCTGTCAACCTTTCAACACAACATATTAACATAAGAAGCACATCTACATTTAGCCAGATGGATGTATCTGAAATATACTTTGAGATATCGTGCGGTGTATAACTGTGTGACGACCCTTGTTTTATCTGTTAAATGATGTCATGTGATATTGTTTCCGTATTTGGTATTTTTAACACTGAAGGCGATGTGACACTGTCGATCTGTCCTTTGGTATACTGTTAAGTATATTCTGTTTTCTTGCATTGTGCTGCCTGATACTTGTCGCTTTATTGTATGCTTGTCGTTTTGATCGGAGTATTTGGTTGTGTTGAGATTGTTAATTAATAAATAGGACAAAATAGTATAAATTGAAGTGAATAGTGAAAGGAAACTTGACGTCAGATCATATTGGAAGATATTCTGAATTTGGATAACTATTTCATAGACTGGCGGTACCATCGCGTGTCCCATCACTAATTTATTAATAACTCGCTAATTATACGACATAATTTTTCCAAAATCAATATTGCTTCTGGTCCGAGATATGCTAAATGCACATGCAAAATTTGGAGCAGAATCAACCTCGCGTTCGTGAGATATCGCGTGCATCTAACAGACAAATACTTATCAACATATTTACCGATCTAAAGATCGATAAGTAATAACACTTCATGTCGAATGAATCAAAATTCTAAATGATAGTTAGGAAAAAGCGCGATAATCACTGAGTCACCACGCCCATTCCTTCTAAATGTTTTGTATGGCACTATTACATTTGAACCCACGACAATTGCACCTGCATACTATTGCACCTATGAATTTTTTTGTTTTACGGATATTTGAACCCATACTAACCTTAACCCATGGGTTTTAGCACCAGCATATAGACTGAACCGGCGGAAATACACATGGGTTCAAAATTCAAATGTACGTGGGTTCAAATGTACGGTCACCGTTTTGTATTTCCGCCCCCCAGTTTATACATTTTTAGTAAATTTCAAAATGTTTTTCTGAAGATGCACAGATAAAAATATAAAAAGGAGCACATTTGTAACAAGATAGCGATGCTCACACACATGAACACGAAGACAAAAAGAAAGCAGTAGTCTACATTACCTCTTACAGAACTTTTTTGCCATGATGTGTAATTGTGTTTTGCCTGCTGATCGATTTTATCTATACAAAAGTAAAATTGGTAAAAGAATGCCAAAGTTAAATTGTTATCTAAAATTTGTTGACATTATAGAAGAGAATGAAAGAATGTTGGCTCTAAAAAAAAAGAAAAATACACAAACAGAGGAAAAAATGAAAAGTTCTGAGATTTGTATAAATAATAACTGTGGTATTAAATGTATGTGAGTAATTGTTATTATTCTGCATTCTATATTACGTTTGTATTGTATTAAAACTGCAATATTGTTTATCATGTAGAACCCAATAAAAAAGTACGGTCTAATTCAGGCCTGGGCAAGTTGCGGCCCGCGGGCCACATCCTTCCCGTGGCAACGTTTATCCGGTCTGCGACCAGATTTCTAGATCTAGAAAAACGAGTTATTATATAATTATCGGCGACGAGATGCTGAAGGTAAATGAAGGAGTGAAGCTGCAACCAACCTCAATCTAGATTAAAGTGCGACAATATAACATACTAAAAAATAAACAGAAGCGATATATGTTTTGATTTAGGAGGCTTGCGACAGATTAAAAACGCTGTTGTAGAAATTAGAAACTGAAAAATTTCATGTGCCCTCGGAACCATACTATGACTGAAATTGAAAGACAGTCGATTGTGCGCGCGATGTATCTTTTGATCAGTTCCAAAACTATCAATTCTATCTATCTAATTCTAAAGTCACCGACGGGCCTCACATATAAGATAATTAATGTGAATTAAATTCAATCGATGTTTATGGTATCCTACTAAAATCAATTTTACGCGACGTGGTTTTATCACAGACGTAAGGATTTTTCTAGCGGTAAAATCTTTAAAACAGAGTGAAGTCGGTTTCGTAAGAACGAATCAGATTTGGCGAATTCGCGAAATGGCAAAGCACGAATAAAGATGATCTGGCAATTTAAGTAACATTTTTATGTCCGCGGATTGCGGTGGTATTTTATAGCAGTAATGCTTATATTTTATCATAGCCGCGGTTAAGATGAGAACAATAAAGCAAGACATTTTAAATAAGCCGTATAGCAAAAAAGGCATCAAAACCAAGTATATTCCGGTAGTTTATCTAACATTTTTATATCCGCAGTACAATAGATATAGTAGTTTGTTTTATTTAAATGTGTAATAAAATACGACAAAAACGCGCAATATATGTTGACTTTACTTAGTCCGGCCCGCCACTGCATTTTGAATATTCAATGTGGCCCGATAGAAAAAATAATTGCCCAGCCCTGGTCTACTCCCTGTCATCCCGTTCGTTCATTCAGCATTGATTCTACAGAGTTTCGATTTATTTATGTCGCAATGCCTATGGGTATCGACAAAAAAATCATCGCACGGACGAGCCTATCGATTTAGTTACGTAAAATAAGTATTATACATCCTTGGATTACTAAATGAGTGAAATGGCGATTTCACCTCCCCGTTGACCTTGATCCAGGCGTTGAGTAAAGATAAACATGCTTAATATGGTTATAATCACTCTTGTACATAAAAGACAATAGCGTCTTACGCTGCAAAGGAATGTTAAAAACTGTGCTGAACATGTTGTAGCGAATTGTCGATAATGATAAATACACCAATCCAGCAGCAGTACATTTTAGTACATTGATACAAATATACTATGTCTTAATGGGGAACTAACCATGGATACGGGTAGACAAGATCTAACTTCCTCGCAATGCACTCATTTATTTCGTGACATATCTATTCCAATAAGGAACAGACCAGGCGATTGAATTTAAATTCCTCGGGCTTTCACTCCAGATTACTGATAACTGAAGATTACTGCTTCATTGAAGGTGAGAACTTTTATTCGGTAATTACCTGTACAAATAACTTGCTCGGCCGAAGAATAATATTAATATGACAGGCACATAGATGCCGGATTTGAACATCTTTTCCATCGACCAAATGGCAGCATTTCGTTGATAGATATCATCATATTGATGTTTTTAACGGTGAATCCACTGATTTATACTTTGTCATACACTGTTAAAAAATTTTTTCCAAATTTACTAAAAAAAAATGGCAGCAAAAGTACTGGCCCATGTAAAAAAATTTACAGGCCCTATCAGTAGTATTATGAACAGTATTTTCAGTAAATTTACAGAGATTGATAGTAGCAAAAATTACTATAAAACTGTAAAAAATACTACTTTTTTGACGGCAGTAAACCTACCCACTAGTAGTAATATTTTTTACCTTAAAATAGTAAATAAAATTACTATCTCGATGGCAGCTACCTTACCCGACAGTAGTACCATACAATACTAGCATGATGGTAATTTCTCACTCGCGATGACCGAACCACTACGAGAGTAGCAAAGCTATTTACTGGCACGACACAACAGTAAACACACAAGGCTTGTAAAACAGTTTCGAAAGAAATTTCAGAAAATATATGGTCTACAGTCAAATTTAAACACCTATTAGGAGACGTTGAAGGCTATCCATACAATAAAATGAGGGCACAAGTTCTTGTAGGACATAGGAATTCTGTATGTAATGGATCAAAATTGAGTTTCTATCGGCACTTGTTAGGAATCTGGTCTATACATTTCGAGGTCTATTTATTTATCTCAATAGATTCAAATATAGTCAAACAAGAAAACGTTTTAGGACTGGGTAATTTAGTTGACAAACTTATTTTGAAATCAAATTTCTGGATACCAGGATATGAGACGCTGGCAAACGTGACATAATAACGAGACTATT